GATGGATGCATGGATGCATGATAGATGGATGCATGGATGAATGAATAAATGTATGGATGGATGGATGCATGGACACAAGGATGGATGCATGGATGATGAATGAAAGTATGGGTGGATACACGCATAGATGGATGCATGGATAGATTGGTGTATGGATGAATGAATGGATACATGGATGGATGGGTGAATGAGTGGATGCATGGGTGGATGGATGCATACATGTATGGTATGGGTGCATGGGTGGGTGCGTGGATGGATGGATGAATGGTGGTGAACTGGATACACTTTGTGCATTTTACATGGAGGGGAGGACAAGGCCTAACCCAAGGCCCTAGTCCCCAACTTGGAAGCCAGGCTTCCTTTCAGAGCCACAGGGGACAGTCACCAGCTGTTCTGGTGACAGAGCCCAGGCGTGCCAGCTCTGCTGGGCCCCCAGGATGGTCGCCTCAAAACTCACCCACATAATAGGAGAGGGTGCGCTTGATCCGGTCAAAGACAAACCAGCGCTTCTTCCAGGACTTAATCTTGCCCCCCATCTTGACCAAGTAGCCGCGGCAGACCTGGCGGGACAGGGGCGGTAAGGAGAGTCCAGACGTACAGCCCCCAGAACAGTCCCAACATATGTGCTGTCACCGTGCCCTGCAGCCAGGGAGGGTCCCCAACACCTCCTCGGGCCAGCATCCCAGGTCCTGGAGCAGGGACCCTTGGGTTGAGGCAGGTATTGAGGCCACCAGTCTGAGGGCCCAGGAGGGGTCTTTGACCACAGGGCCCTTTGGCCTCCCCCGGGGCTGGCCCGTTTTGTACCTTGCTGCTAAGCACCACGTGCAGGCAGGTGTCCACCCCATGGCCTGAGGACTCGATGTGGGTCTTCAGGTCAAAGTCCTCCTTCCGGATTGGTAGGTATCTGGTCAGAGGTCGTGCCTGGGAGCCAGAGAGCAAGACCAGGAGGTTCACCTTGCTCCCCTTAGTCCAGGCCCACCAGTTTCTCTTCTTAACCCCATCACCTCCCAGCCCCTTGGCTTCACAAAGATGTGGGGCTGTGCCTGCTCCAGGGCAGATAAGGTGGCTCCCCTTGGCCTCGCTCTACTGCCACCGAGTCTACTTACATCCAAGACAGAGCCCTGCTCCCCCTCCCCTTCTGCTGGGAGAATAAAACAGGAAGCCAGGCTGTTCTCAAATGGTGATCCCAGTAAGAAATCTGATCTCTGATGTCCTGAGAAATTTCAGGTCCTATTTGGACCTCTGTTTCCTTACAGGTAAAATGATGGGTCTGAACTAGGCAATCACTAAGTTCTATTCCATCTAGAACATTCTGACACCAAACAGAAATTGCAGCCTGTTGTGCTCCCAGGCCCCTGCCCCACCTTCCTTCCCAGGAGGAGCCCTGGTGGCATCATGGTTACGAGTTGGGCTAACCCTAAAGTCGGCAGTTTGAAGTCACTAGCTGCTAGTCAAGAGAAAGAGGAGGCTGCCTATGCCCGTAGAGAGTGACAGTCCCAAAAACCCACAGGGGCAGTTCGACCCTGCCCTATGGGCTGTGGTGAGTCGGCACCGCCTGGACAGCAGTGACCATGGTTTGGTTTGGTGCCCTTCCCGGAAGGATCACTGAAAGGGCAGAATGGGGAACAGACCACAAGTCACTTAAAGGAAAACCAAGGGCACGCCTTCCAGGAGGGTCCTGAAGGTGGGCGACTCCCCTCCACCCCCAGCACCTGTGAGGGGCTCTTCCAGCAAGGCCTGAGCCTCCTGACGGGCATCTAGAGGAGGGGAGTCCCAAAGTGGCCCCTGACTGAGGCAGCAGAGGGAGACCTGGCATTCAACAGAATTCTGCTCACACAAGTAAAACAGAATTTCTGGCTATTTCTTAATTCCCAAAGTCAAACCAGGCAGCCGTTGCTGCACTGTGGGGGAGGCACCACAGGACCTCCACCCTGGGGTGGCCTGAGAAGGGACAGCTCGTCCAAGTCCTACAGGCATCACGGGGGCCAGGGCCTAGGGTCAGATCAGCTCTCCTCCTAGCGCCTGTTCCAAGAGAAAATGAAAGCCGTGCTGTCTTGGAGATGCCCGCCAAAGGCCCATGTCCTCAACTGAACTGTGTCCTGCAAAAGCATGCATCAGCTGGGTTCCCAGTAGCGTGTGCTTACCACCCTCCACATGCGAGGGATAAGAAACCTTGATCTCCCTGTGTTAGTGAGGAGGGGAGATTCTGTTATGTCTGCCGTGTACATGAGGCAGGGTTAACATGGGCTGTAACATGCTGTCTCAGGTCACAGCCCTGATGCATGAAGGGAAGTCTCTCTGGGCTATGGTCTGTCCCCAACTTTGACCTTAACAAGGAGAGAGAAGCAAGTCAAGAGAGCCCCAAGACCTCTAAGAAAGAAGTGCCAGGATTCTATGATGCTCACCTTCCCGACACAACCGCTGAAGACAAAGCAGGTGAATAAGCAAATGTGGCGAAGAAAGCTGATGATACCCGGCTATCAAAAGATATAGCATCTGGGGTCTTAAAGGCTTAAAGGTAAACAAGCAGCCATCTAGCTGAGAAGCAACAAAGCCCACATGGAAGAAGCACACCAGCCTGTGCGATCACGAGGTGTCGAAGGGATCAGGTATCAGGCATCATGAGAACAAAAATCATATCACTGTGAATGAGGGGGAGTGTGGGGTGGAGACCCAAAGCCCATCTGTAGGCAATTGGACATCCCCTTACAGAAGGGTCTTGGGGAGGAGACAAGCCAGTCAGTGTGCGATGTAGCAACGATGAAACATACAACTTTCCTCTAGTTCCTAAATGCTTCCTACCCCCACTATCATGATAAGAATTCTACCTTGCAAGTCTGGCTAGACCAGAGGATGTACACTGGTACAGATAGGAACTGGAAACACAGGGAAGCCAGGACGGATGATCACTTCAGTGGCGTGAGCAGATACTGGGAGAGTGGAGGGAGGGTGGGTTGGGAAGGGGGAACTGATTATAAGGATCTACATGTGACCTCCCCACTGGGGGACCGACAACAGAAAAGTGGTTGAAGGGAGACGTCGGACAGGGCAAGATATGACAAAATAATAATTTATAAATTATCAAGGGTTCATGAGGGAGTGGGGAGCGGGGAGGGAGGGGGAAAATGAAGAACTGATGCCAGGGGCTTAAGTGGAGAGCAAATGTTTTGAGAATGATGAGGGCAATGAATGTACAAATGTCCTTTACACAATTGATATATGTGTGGATTGTGATAAGAGTTGTATGAGCCCCTAATAAAGCGGAAAAAAAAAAAAGAAGAAAGAAGTACCAGGAACAGGGTGTCCTCTGGGCTGGCAGTCTCTGTGCTAAGAACCTCCCAGACCCAAGGAAGGCTGCTGCCAAGACACATGGAGCGCTCCGAGGAAGACTCCGTCCACAGATGCCGAAAGGAGACAGGACCTGTCCCCAGAGCCAAGGACCGGAAAGCCTAGCCCTAGAGCTGGTGCCCTGACATCAGACTTCCAGCCCCTAAACTACAAGACGAAACCCATTAGTCACAGTCACGCACTGCAGTCCTCTTGCTACTGCAGCCCTGGAGACTGAAGAGGGTTACGGTCAGACCATCAGCTGACGGTGGTCCTGGGGGTGGCCTGGCACCGAGGACATGTGTCGGAGGAGCTCAGGGGAAGGCGGAAAGGGTGCAGAGAGGACTCATGAAGCAGAGAGGGGCCGAGGGCAGCCATGTTTCTTGAACCTCCGGCTCCCATCTCTGGCAGACCTGGCCAGACCTCCTCCTCTGGTGCCAACGCCCACAAGGAGATGGCCACACCCTCCTGGCGCCCACCACACACACACTTGCTTGAATAAGCTCAAGGGGGTCTCGGCCCGTGAGACCGATGGAATCTCAGGTGGACTGCCGTCTGCTGAACCAGCAGCAATCGTTCCTGGATAGAATGAGTTTTCCGACCCAGGGAAAGCACCCTGGGGTACCCCTACGCACCCACGCCCAAGGTAACCTTGCAGGAGGGGGCTTCAAAAACACTGTGGGAAAACTCCAGTACCTTGCCACACTATCTTTCCACGAACTTTCTGAAGCCCCCTGCGTCCTGTGTCCTCCCACGCCCTCACCTGGGAGAACTGCTTCTCCCGCATCTTGACCTCCTTCTCCACCAGCTGCTGCCTCCGGGCACTCTCGCTGTTCAACCTCCGCTCCACCTGCTCCCGCCTCCGCCGCTCCTCCTCCAGGGCCTGTCTCCGCAGCTCCAGCTCCCGCTCCTGCAGCCAAGCGGGGGTCAGTGCCCACAGCCGCCCTCTTCCCTGCCAGCAACCCTGGCCCAGCCCAGGAAACACCCACTCTGAGAGGAAGCCACCCCCAGAGCCCACCTGCCCCAAGGGGCCTGCTGGGTAAGGGGCGATGCTCTAACACATGACTGTCCCAGCTCTGCCGCCAGGATCAGCCCTGGGACCCGGGACACTCTGAGGCTCGGCCCCTGTGAAAGGGGCTCAGGTGGTAGTGGAGCCGAAACACACCATCGCTGCCAACTCCGAGAAGAAGGGAAGCAATCAACCACGCAATCGGCCAACGGGGTGCTGAGCACCCGCTAGGACCGCTCAGCCTACGGACTGGCTAAGCAACTCTCTGACAGCTAACATACGGCATCAAGGGTTACATGGTGGGTTGCCAACCATCGCAAGGTCAGCGGTTCAAACCACCAGCTGTTCCGAGGGAGAAAGACTAGGCTCTCTACTCCCGTAAAGAGTGAGCCTTGGAGGCTCACGGGGGCAGTCCTAGCCTGTCCTATAGGGTCGGCATGGACTCGAGGGCAGCGAGCATCCCAAGTGGGATGACTTGCCGTGCAGGTAAATCCCAAACCCCGCTTCCTTTGTGTGAGTTCCAACTCACAGCACCCCACACATCACAGAGCAGAGCCGTGGCCCTTCGGAAGTAGATCTCCAGGCTGTTCCCTGGCTGCAGCACCGGTGTGCCGACCTTGTGTGGGTCGCTGAGCGCTGAGAAACCACATGTACATTTTGCCATGCAGTTTTAAAAGAAACAAAACAGGCCAGTCGGTCCATTTTGTCTCACAGCAATGCTACGGTTCAGAGAAAACCTGCTCCCCAGGGCCGCGGAGACGGGAAATCTTCATGGGAGGAGACAGCCTCATCTTTCTCTTACAGAGCAGCAGGGGGGTTTGAACTGCTGACCTTCTGGTTAGCAGCACAACACTTAACCCACTGCACCATGCAAGTCTCCTCCCCAAAAAGAAAAGGGCAAACACTGTTGCTGGATTGATTTCCAGCTCAGAGCAGCCCTAAAGAGAGTTCTAGGCTTTGTAGACCTTTACGGGAGCACACAGCTTCCTCTTCCTCCCTCAGAGTGGCTGGTGGGTTTGAACATGGACCTTTCAGCTAACAGGGCAACGCGGAGTGGACAGCGTTACCAGGTTTCCGTGAGGTTCCCCCAGTCAACAGGTCCACAGAAGAGGGTCCCATAAAGGAAACCGGACTGGCCGCACCCGCCCTGCCTCTCCACAGCACCCTAGCCCTACTTTGAACACTGCAAACTTGAAAACCACTTCTGCTTCCAGGGAATGATGTGAGGGTCAAAAAGGGTTTGGGGTGGAGCAATGACCTTGGGTGGGCCAGGGCCGCTGACCCTGGGGCTCCCACCCCTCCTGCCTCCCAGTCAGGCCCAGATCCACCTCACCCTGGACTCCATGAGCCGGCTCTTCTCGGCGTGAGCCTCTTTCAGCATCTTCCCCATCTCCTCCAGCTTCCCCACGTCCAAGCCGCTGGCACTGGGGGAGGCACAGCGAGGAGAGCAAGTGGGTGGCAGGGCTGTGAAGGAGGGCGGGGCTGGCTCCAGGCAGGGAGGGCCCAGCTACCTGGACATGTTGTCTGGGGAGCAGGCTGAGTTGCCCCCCGTGGAGAGGCTGGTCTCCATGCTGTCCGAGCTCTCCAGACTCAGCGTGTCATAAGCGTGCTCCCCGTCGTCCCCACGCTCCCGGCCTGCCGGCAGGTGGTGCAGGATGGAGTGGTGCATGAGCGGGGGGAAGCCCAAGGGGGCTGCTGGGAAGGGGCCCGCCCCGTGTAGTGCGTCCCACTGACACTGGGCCTCAGCTGCAGCCTTCTGCTTCAGCTCGGCCAGCCGCCGCCGCTGCTCCTCAATCACCTGCTGCCCTGCAGGAAGAAGAGGGGGTGTCATGGCGGGCACCCCCCCACCCAGAGGCACGGGTGGAGAGGTCCACACAGGGGCACCCTAGAAACCCCAGAGCCCCAGACCAGCATTGCAGTCACTTGCACAAGTGGCCATAGCCCCACGGTCTGGCTTCAAGGTTGCTTCTGTACCCCAAGTCCACAAAGGGTCCCGAAACTTCCTAGAGAGGCCCAGGCACGTGACAGCCAAGCCCTGCGCAGGCAGGGAGGCAGGATGCATGCGCCCAGCCTGCCTGCTGGGGGCCAGCCAGGGATGGAGGGGGAGTGGGAGCCTCCCGAGCCCCCAGGGTGACAAACACAGACCCCAGCTGCAAGGCAGAAGCCAGAGCAAGGGAAGCAGGAAGGAAGGAGGGGGAGAGGAGAAGCAGACGCAGGGCAGAGGACCTCAGCTGGACAGGGAGCCAGCCGACCCCCTGGGTGGTGGCACCATGCTGAAGCCTGGGCAGGGCTGCCTGAACAAAGCAATGCCCTCAGTGACCCCCGCTCTACCTGCTGGCTCATCGGCAGGGTGGGGCCCGGCAGGCAGCGAGTCGACTGGCGTGAGGGACCCCGGGCAGAGGGCAGGGTAGAAAGGCAGAGGGGACGAGAGGAGAGAGAGCAGAGACATGGACTTTCAAACCAACCGAGACGTCCACGGGGAGGGGTGCACAGAGACCCCTGGGAACCCTCTTTGGGAACCCTCTCTGGAGGTCAACATGCCTACCCCCCCTGCCTTCAGAGAGGAGGTCTCAGATCAGCCTGGCTCAGATCGACGGGCACTGCCCTCATCTGCTGGGTGACAAGGGGTCCTGGTGGCACAGTGTCCATGCGTGGGGCTACTAACTCGCCAGGCCAGCAGACGGAAAGCACCAGCTGCTCCACAGGACAAAGACAGGCTTTCTGTTCCCTTAAGAGTCCCAGTCTCAGAAACCCATGGGCACTTCCACCCTGTCCTGTAGGGGAGCTCTGCATTGGAATGGGCGTGACGGCAGTGAACTGCAGGAAGACCCCACAGCCTCGGCCCCTAAGTCCCCTGGCCTGGGATCTTTGGAGAGCATCCCTGGAAACCCTCCTTCAGGTGTCTAATGGAATGTGTTTCTGCTTTTGCCGGGATCCCAGTTCTGGGAGGAGCACCCTGTGAGGAGCGCGGACAGGGGTGAGGGTGTGGGGCGCCCAGGCTGGCCTCTCACCCTTCTGCTGCAGGGCTAGCTGGCGCTTGGTCTCGATGTCTTGCAGTGTGGCTGCCAGGTTTCGAGGAAGGCTTCCTGTGCCGTTGTGGGTGAGCAGGGCACTCTGCAGAGGGAGGGGCAGCCGATCAGGACCTGGGGCTCCAAGGGCCCGCTCCCCACGGCTTCCAGGGGGCCCCAGACCTCTCCCCAGGTGGCCAGGCACCAGCCCTCTGCACCCCCACCATCATGCAGACCTTCGGGGAGGGGCTGCGGCCCAGGGTCGCCACACTGAGCTGGGAAGAGGATGAAGACGAGCCAGAGGAGGAGGGGAGGGGGCCACTCCGGGTCCGGGGCAAGGGGCTGGTGGCCTCGCCATCCATCTTGGAGCGGTAAACCTGGAAGGAAGAGACAGCCTGGTGAACCCGGCCTCGGCCCCTGGCCACCAGGCCACATTGCCTAGGCTGGCTGTGATCCCAAGTGCCACCTGGCATGGGTCCTGCGCAGCTGCCTGTGCCCCACTGATGGCACGCCAGCCCAGTGGGCAGAAGCTATTGGCAGCTGCGTCCTTTGCAAGTTCTCCCTCCCTGGGCCAATCCTTGGCCTGATCTGGGTTTTAGAGAGAACTTGGTAAACTGGTCCTTGCCCAGGGGTCACTGCCAGCTGGCCAGCATGGCACAGGGCTGACTGGAGGGTAGTTCCTCCTGGCCCCAGTGGGTGTCACTGCTGGTGACTCTGTGACCTGGGGCCATGCACCCCCCGGCTCTGGGAGGGGCTCCTCAAGTAGCAGGCCAGACGGACAGATGGAGAGGGACAGACAGAGGGAGGGCCACCTAAGCGGGCACAGCACGCAGCGCAGGCTCTGCTACTTGCCAGCGGAGTGGCCTTGAGGAGATTCCCCCGTCTCAGGAGCGGCCTTTGATGTGTGGCCGGGACGAGAGAACTCCAAATGGGTAAGAAGTCTCTCCAGAGCGGCCCACAGTCCCTCCAGGGGCCGGAAACATTAACTGCGGTCACGCGCTGCAATGGCATGGGGAGCTCAGGAGGCTGAGCTCAGGATGGGGACTCGGGAGGCTGTCTGAGTACCCGGGCCAGGCAGCCCCGCACCCTCCACAGCATGTCCCCAGACCCCCGCTTGAGAGTCTTTGCCCGCTCTGCCCAGCCTCCGAAGAGTCCTGGTGGTGCAGTGGATTAAGTGCTGGGCTGCTAGCCCCAAGGTCAGTAGTTCAAATCCAGGGCCGCCCCGTGGGAGGAAGGGGAACCTGCTCCCATCAAGATGTGCAGTCCCAGGAGCCCCGCAAAGCACTTCTACTCAGCCCCACAGGGTGACTGAGTCTGTCTCCAGCTGTCACTTCAGAGACCAGGAGAGCAGGTCCTCACAGGGCACATGCGCCCCCATTGTGTCAAGTCCTCAGACTCCCTGAAGAGTCCCAGGACCGGGAGCTTCAGGAACAGAGCAGGCCCACACTCAGGGGCCCACCAGGTCGGGCCCAGCCCAGGGAACCAGTCAGCTCCCCAACCTGACCACGGCTCCACAGTACCCTTCCACCGGACGCAGGTGGCAGCACCAAAGAGGACAGCCTGTGGGCAACTCCCCGCTGCTCTCCTCAGGGTTCAGAGGCACCCTGGCCACCCGAGGAGCATGGGCGGACAGAGCAGCAGAGCAGAGAGGAGCAAGGTCAGTGGGCAGGCAGTGCCAGGGGTAGGGGGTGTGGGGGGGCGGGGTTACCTGTAGCTGATGGGAGACCTTGGCGGGCAGAGGAGGCGGGGAGGAGTGAGGGGAGGCAGCAGGCCCCGTCCCCCGCCCGGCCATCAGTTCCTGATACCACTGCTCTAAGTCTACCGCAGGGGGCAGCAGCTTCTCCATCTGGAGGGCGCGGGTGGGTGGAAGGTAATGAAGTGAGGACCAGGGCGAGTGGTAGGAAGGGGAGGGGACAGGGATGGAATGAGAGTAGAGGAGGAAGAGAGAGACACAGTAAGGAACAGGCGGAGAAGAACAGTCACACACACTCCCAACCCCAGATCCCCACGCTAGCACTGAGCTACGCCGCCGTGACAACAGGGTCCGGCTGGCCGGCCACCCAGGCCATGGGTGCTGGGCACCCTGTTGGCCTCCAGCCAAGAAGCTGGTGGGCAGAAGAGAGACACAGCCCATGACCAGTGGGCCGGGGCCACAGGGACACAGGACCACCGACCATAAGGAAGGGTGAGATGGAAGCAGAAGAGGAGGAGGTCGGCAGCTCGGGAGGAAGGCAGATAGAGGGACCCAGGTCCCAGGAGGCAAGAGCTCAGACAGGCAGGCCTGGCGCAGGGGAGGGGGGCACAGGCAAGAAGCCCCATGCCTTCAGCCGCTCAAGCATCGCGTACTTGGGGAAAGGCTGGAGCAGGGAGGAATACAAGAGGTTCATGGACTGGTACCCACTAGGAGACAGGGGTTGGGATGGGGGCATGGAACAGGGGCAGCTTGTAATGCTGAGAGCACTGCCCTTCTCTTGGGCACAGGGGCAGCTGGGGCCTTCTCCCTGCCCGAGGCAGGCCTGAGGGGAGGCAGGAGGTATAGGTGGGCACCCAGAGGCACCTTGCTGTTAGACAGGGGCTGGGCAAGCACCTGGGGCAGGTGGCAGAAGCAGACAGGTCCAAGCAGGAACAGAGCTGCAGAACCTCTGAAGGCTCACCGACTCCTTAGCTGCCAGGAGGCCCAGGGAAATGAATGGTGCTGACGCCCCACATGGCATGCCAGGTCACAGGGCTGTCACTCCGTGTCAACCCAAACTCAGGGCAGGGTGAGGGTTAGAAAAGGACAAGCAGGTTCCTCCTGGGGCAGCCCCTGCCCCAAAAACTGACTGGCCCATTGCTAGAAGCCAAGGGTCCAGACCCTCCTACTAGGACTTCTGTCTCTAACCCCCTGGGGACAGGTGCACACCGGGCAGCACCGAGCACCAGTCACATGTCCCTGAGGGCCCCCTGGCACCCTACCCGCTGGACCTGAACAGGAGCTCATAGCAGGGAGGAGCTGAAAACCAGGGAGAAAAATCAGCCCGGAATCAGGTAGGGACATGGACAGGTACCAGCTGTGGGCTGGGAGGCCTGAGACTGCCCTAGTCATCACACGCCACAGAGCACTGAGCTGGCGAGGTGTTGGAGCAAGCGTGCTGACCAAGTGCAGCATCTCCTGTCTGCCGGCACACGTGGCAGGTGAGGGGACGCTTGCAGGCCCCACTCTAGGGGCCACCGTGACGTAAAACAGGTAGGAGGGCCCAGTGTGTGACACGGACCCATCATGCCAAACAGAGCACACGCACATTAACACACCACTCGACACACTGATTTTTGCATAGGCGCCCAGGCCCTCTGTGGGACAGCTGGGCAGATGGGTTGTAGAGTGTGCCAAGCCCGGGCTAGTCCCTCAGCCAGCCGGGCCCTGGGAAGGAGCTGCAGGTGTGTTGGGGGGCAGATAGGCCCCACAGAGCACACAGTTACAACAACCTCTCGTATTTGAGGGCAGAGCCGAGTGGAAGCAGGTAGGATGAAGGGGTTGGAGGTGGCCCCAGCCTGAGAGGACCCTGGGGACAGGCCCAGAGCCTCTGTCCCCAGCTGCACTCTCAAGGGTGAACAGCTCAGCCTTCAGAGTGGGTACACGGTGGAGCCCAGCACCCCACTCCAGGCCTGCATGGCTTATGCATTGGGATGAGGAGCAGGGAGACGGGGAGGAATGGGTAGCCTAGGATCAGCACTCCTTGGCCCTCATGCTCCCCTCAGGGTGGGTCTGCTCAGCCTCAGGCTGTCACAAAGCTCTAAGCTACGCAGCCCCTCCCTCAAGATACTCAGCTACAGTCAGCTGCCAGGCTCTGTGGGCTCCTGGGCGTAAGACAGGCAGCAGTGGCTGACATAGCCCCAGGGGGTCAGTCTCAGACCTTGTCGGCACGCCCTTCACCCCCACAGCCAGATCCCTGCAGCTCAGGAAGCTGTCCCCACACTATCGCTCAGAGAAGCCTCCTTGTGTGTGTGTGTGTGTGTGTTGGGGGGGGGGGGGTCCTGCTACCTCTTTGAGGGTGGTGGTCTTCGGGAATGGCCTGCCCCCAGTGAGAGTGTAGTAGCGTCTTTCCAGCATGGACAGCTTCTCCTTCTCCTGCACACGCGAAGAGCAGCAGCAGTCAGAGAGGAGGGCAAGAAGGGAGGCCATGGCGGGGGTTCCACCCTGGCCAATCTCCCTACCCCTCCACACCCACCTCCCGCTCTACCAACCCTCGCCCTGGCCCAGGCTGCCAGGGGCTACCTTCTGTAGCAGCTGCAAAGAGGCGTTCTTGTCCCGGGCCAGGCGCTCCGAGTCTTGCACGGCTTGGGCCCGGATCTGTCCCGCCTGGTTGTCCAGCACAGCCAGGCGCTCCTGGAGGGGACAAGGTGGATGATCAGGCCCTGGGGAGATGGGATTGCATCCAGGGAAGGCCAGGCCCAGGCCTGGGTGCAGGGAAACCACCAACCCTTCTGTTTGGCCTCAACCCACCCTGGGCAAACTCAAGGGATGCAGTCAGCTCCTCCCTCAGCTCTTTTCCCCCTCTGTACGACCCTGGGCAACCAGCCATGGCCCAGGCCCCACTGGACTCTCCCTCCCCTATATAACAAGTCCTATCAGCCCTCTCCCCCAAAACAGTCCAGGCTCATGACCTCGCCTTTCCCCTCCCCCACTTTCAACCCTCTGCTTTTGGTGGCCTAGACCACCCCCCACTCCCACCCCCCAAACTCCCTCCAGTTTCCAGCCGGATATTTCTGCTCCACTCCGCACACACACACCCACCCTTGCACAGTCTCTCTAGCTCCCTAAGCTGGCAAGGAGGCTGGGTTTGCTGGTTGTCTTTGCTCATTTGCATTTTCTAATCCTAATCAGCACTCAGGGAAGGATCCATCAAGAAATCAGCCGCCCAGGGTCCTCTTTAAAGTGGTAGCTTGCAGTCATGCCACTGCAAGGGCTCAGGTGCCACGGTCTCTAATCCCTCCCCCATGCCCGCGAAGGCTGGACCATGGAGAGGAAGACAGGATGGGGACTGATACGTTGGCATGACAGTGCTGGCAGAGACTTCTCTAAGTGCCCGGCACGACCAGACCTGTTCTGGAGGAAGCGAGACTTTACCTCCCATGCCGTGCTCATGTCATCAGGGGGACCAGCCCCTGGAGAGAGCATCAGGATGGGAAGGTGGAGGGTCAGGAAAACAAGAGGAAGGCCTTCACCAAGATGGAGCGAGACCACGGCTTCAGAATGAGCTCCAAAAGCCGCTGTGCCGATGGCGCAGGATCTGGCAGCCGGTCCTTCTGTTGTTAGATTGTTGCACCGAACAACTATCTAACAAGAATGTAGAGTCCAGTCTCCAAGTCCTATCAGCCTTCTCTTCAAAAACAGCCAGTGGCCAGCATGATCCACAAGACAGACAAGCCGCGGCCGACACAGGGCCCCATCAGCAGCCGGAACTTCCCACCACCGCTTTGTGTGCTTCTCAGTGTCTTCCTGACAGACTGTCCTCAGCTGTCCCCATCCCTTGGAGCTGGCCCTCCAACCAGACCCTTCCCTGAGTCCAAACTCAACTTCTAAGGTGCTCAGTTTACCCTGTATCCCAATCTGCCTGGGATGATGGCTACCTGGGAACGTATCCTCCTGCAGCCCGCTCTCCCTCAGCCAGCTGGCCTGCCTGCCTGCAAGACCCAAAGGCAGGTGAGGCTTTCCTGTGTCTGTGTCCCCGGCAGGCAAGGTAAGCAACAACCTGTGCTCAAGGGAACAAGAAGACTTGGTGGCTGGGCTCACCCCAAACTGGCTTCCTGAAGGAGGGAGCCCTGCGCCACTACCCTGAGCGTGAAGCATGAGCACAGGAAGCACCGGGGACTGTGTCCAGCTAAACCCCGGGGAGTCCGACCCAGCGACCCAGCACTGGAGCGAAGGCTAACACGGGCCCATGAATCCGCGTGTCGGAACACCCGATCCCTAAGAGCCCGGAGG